TACCTGCGCCGCATATGCATGCATGTGGCGCAGCATACGGCGCACGTGGCGCAGCGGCGGGCGGCGGGGGTGCGTGCGGGGAGGCGGCAGCGGTGGAGTGGCGGGGCGTGGGCTGGGAGTGCGGCGTGGCGCACTGGGGAGGCGGAGCTGCTTGCGTGGGGCAGGGCAGCCAGGCGTGCCGCCCCGCGCCCGGCCTCGCCGTCGCACCCTCCTCGCTTTGCATCCGCCGCATGCATGGCTGACATTGCGCGTACCGCAGAGGAGCTGGTGCGCCTCCAGGGCTGCTTCCTGTGCTACACGCCCGCCCTTGACGCCCCGCCCGTCGCCCCGCTGCCCGCCCTGGCCAGCGGCTTTGTGACTTTCGGGTCCTTCAACGCCCTGGCCAAGCAGACCCCAGAGGTGTGCGGGCTCCTGCCTTGACACGCATGCCGTGCCGTGGCACGCAGCGTTTTGGTTGCCACACCTTACCATACATCACGCGCTGCTGTCTCTGCACCCGGCGCCTCCAGCGGCAGACCCCAGGGGCGGCCCGCCTATGCTGGGATGCCGCCGCTGCGCGCGCGTCTGGGCTGCCGAGGCAGCCGCAGGCCTGCCCCACAGCTCACACACAAACCAACCAAACCAGCACACCCACAAACCTTCTGAAAACCTAACAGACACCACGCCACGCACTGCCGGCGTAGGTGCTGCGGGTGTGGGCGCGCATCCTGCTGGCGGTGCCCGGCAGCCGCTTGGTGCTGAAGAACAAGCCGTTTGCCTGCGAGGTGCGGTACAGCAGTACATGCAGAACACGCGGGACGGCAGTACATGCGGTGCAGCAGCGCAGGCAGAACCGCAGTCGGTGCAGCCCTGGCGGCCTTCGCTTCCTGAAATGGCATGGCACGGCGGGCAGGGCCGCTGCGCCGTGGCCGCGTGGCGTGCTGCGTGGGTCGTGGCGCCGCCAGCCGCCACCTGCCCCTGCCCATCACACACGCTCACACACACACATGCAGGTGGTGTGCAACCAGTACTGGCGTGTGTTTGAGGCGGAGGGCGTCGAGCGCACCAGGGTGAGAGCGACTGATCCGCGGGTGTGCTGCCTTGCTGGTTGCCCGCCCCCTTGGCGGCCCGGGGCTCCTTGTGTTTGCCGCCTTGCCGCAGGACCGAGGACGCTGCCGCCGTTGCGGTTCTGCTGCTCTGGGCTGGCCATGCAGCTTGCCATGCAGCTGCCCAGCTGGCTGTTGCGCCCGGCTCAGGCGCCCCGGGGTGGTGTTGACTGCTGTTGCGTGTGCTGTCCTCATGCTGTCACATGCCGTGCCTGCTGTGCCTGCTGTGGTCGCCGCCGCCTGCAGGTGGACCTCCTGCCGCTGGCCGCCGCCAACAGGGACCACCTGGCCCAGGTGGGAGGGCACTGGGAGGGCCACCCCACGTGCCACACGCCACCCTGCCGCTGCTCTGCTCACTTCTGCTTTTCACTTGCGCTCGCACCGGCCGCCGCCATGCACTCGTGCTTCCCTGTCACCACCGTGTACCGCTGCCGAGATGTACTGCCGCGGCGCATGTGCCGCCCTGTGTACCGCCTGCAGTACGGCATGATGGACGTCAGCCTGGACCCCTGGCCGTACGCCGGTACCACCACCACCGCGGAATCCCTGTACATGGGTGCGCTGGGCCTGCCACTGCACTTCGAGAGGGGCGTGTGCGGCTGGCGCCCTGCCGGTGGTGTGGCTGCCATTGCTGCCAATGACCGCGGCGCGGCGCTGCCGCTGCAAGCACGTCGCGCCGCTGGTTGTGCGGCTGCCGCTGCCGGGCCGGATCAGCAGCCAGCACTGGTGCTGACAGGTGTCCGCTCGCCCGCTCACCCCAACCGCCGCCGGTGGACCCCTGCCCCTGCAGGCGTGCCCTGCCTCACCCTGGCTGGCGCCTGCCACGCACACAACGTCGGCGTCAGCCTGCTGACGGCAGTGGGGCTGCAGCACGACTGGGTGGCGCGCTCAGGTGCTGTGGCTGCCGCTTGGCAGCTGGCAACGGCTGCCGCCAGCGTTGTCTTGCTGCTGCTGACTTGTACAGGCAGCCTCTGTGCGCCGGCAGCCTCCCCTGGCCGGGCGCCCTACGCAGAGGTGTATGCAGGGCAGCACGGCAACCGTACAGGGTCCCTCCCCTGCCTTGCCCTGACGGCGGCTGGAACACACTCCTTCCCTGGCCCCTTGGCTCTCTCCCTGGCTCCGCAGTGGACGAGTATGTGGAGCAGGCGGCGGCGCTCACCCGTGACCTGCCGGCGCTGGCGGCACTGAGAGCGGGGCTGCGCCAGCGCATGCTGCAGGTGAGGGGCCGGTCATCAGTTGGCCCACACGCCGCAGCTGTTTGCCTGCGCTGGTGCCTGCGCATGCGCGACTAAGCATGGCTGCCGTGTGGGTGCTGCGGCAGCCAGCAGCCGAGCCTCGCAGCTGAGCTGCGCATGCCTGTGCCCGCTGTGCAGTCTCCGCTGTGCGACGCGCCCGCATTTGTGCGGCGGCTGGAGGGAGTGTACCGCACGCTGTGGCAGCGATGGCTGGACCAGCAGCAGGCGGCTGTGCGGTAACGGCGGTGGCAGCCCCTGCCACGAGCGCTGGCAACCGCCGGGCATCCGCCGAGCTGCCGGCTGGCGGCGGCACGGGCGCCACCGGCACGGCTTTGCAGCATTGGAAGTTGCCGGCTGTAAGAGTTCGTGCAAGGCATTTCTCTGAGAAGCCACAAATGCCAGGTAGCAGCACGAGAATGGAGCAGGCCAGCTGCCGAGGGTCGGTTACCGGCTGACGTGGCGCCAGCGTGTTAGCCCACATCGCCTGCCGTCAAGGATGAGCCGTCGCACGATATTATAATCACCGCATCTTAATTTTGCGTCGTCACACCATCCCCAGGCCGAAGGGAGGGCGCTCCATCCGTCAGTCAACATCGCTTCAGGCGGCCCAATTTGCGCTGCAGCACCTGCATCCGAAGCATCCTGTTGCCGTGCATTAGTTCCAAGTTGCAGTGCCCCGGTCAAGCAGCAGCCGAGATGGATGCCCGACACAGATACATTGCGTCGCGGGTGAGGGCGGGGCAACCCTAGCAGCGCTGCAGGCTGCTCAATTGGAGATGCTGAGCGCCCTGCGCCTGCCCTGCAGCTGGCCGAGACATTTGCCGACGTCACGCCGGAGAGCGCCGAGGCGGTCGTGGCGTGAGTGCTTCACGCTGTTGCCGCCGTTGCCGGGCCTGCGGCCGATCGCCGGAGAGCCTGAGCCTGCCTCCAGCCCCTCCAAGCCCCGCTGATCACATCCCCTCCCACCATGCAGCTCCTACCAGAGGGAGGTCGACGCCTTCCTGGCGCCCGGAGGCATCACCACACTCACTTGGTTCTATCAGGCGGGTGCCGGGGATGGCCGAGGCATGCAGGCGGGGCGCCGAGGGGGATAGGGTTTGGTGTGGGGCGCCGCCGCTCCCGCCGCCGACGCCTGGCCCTGCCGCACGCCTCGCGCTGCAGGTGCCCAGCGTTTTGGAGGGAGACCTCACAGCCGGACCCAGGCTGTACATATGCGATCCCCAGGTGGGGCGCCTCTTCGCTGCACGGCCCGTGCTCGCGCCGCCGCGCCGCGCCTGCCGCCGCGCTCCCCGCCCTCCACGCGCCCCGCCCAGGCTGGCTGGCTGCCGCCCACGCGGCTGCAGCCTGCAGCCCCACGGGGGCCCTGCTCACATGCCTCTTCTGCAAAACCTCTGTCTCTCTGTCTCTGTCTCTGTCTATCTCCAGGCCGAGCCGCTGCGCAGCAAGGCGCTCGTCTTCACTGTCGCGAATGGGCGCAAGGGGGTCCTGGAGAAGAGCGCGGACACAGACATGGTGGCGGCGGAGGTGTCGCCCCAGGTTCTGGCCAACCTGCAGGCGAGCAGGGGCGGTGGGGGGGTGGGCAGCATTATATGTCGGGTGTGCTGGAGGGTACATTGTGGGGCAGGCAGGGGCGATTCAGCCCGTGGGGCCAGCATGTATGTGTGTCTCGGACAAAAAGAGGCAGGGGGTGGATGGGGGGCGCATGGGGAGGTCCCTCTGCCAGCCCGATCGCTGCAGCTCTCCAGGCCTGGGACCTGTAATGAGGCACCCACCCTTCAATGCAATGCTGTACTGCTGTACTGCTGTACCGCAGGCGCTGCTGAGCGAGCTGTACATTCCGCTAGTGGAGGCAGCCACGCCGGCGCCGCACCCGGCGGCGGAGCGAGCAAAGGCAGAGTTCCTGCTGGTGTGTGTGTGTGTGGTGTCTGTGTTGGGGTGGAGAGTGGTGTGGGTGTGGGGGCACCCATGCTTGGCGGTCAGCCAGGCAGACCTGCCGCGGCGGCTGGCATGCGGCCGCACGCCTCCCCGCCCTCAGCCCGGCCCCCGCCCACCGCCGCCGCTCCTGCAACCGCCGCTCCCCTGCCGCCTGCCCCGCTCGCCCCGCCTGCGTCGCCCGCAGGGCGCCAACAAGTTTGTGGCGTCGCTGGCCGAGGCGGCGGCCGGCGCGGGCGGCGCGGTGGCGCTGCCGCTGCCCGAGGCGCAGCACCTGGCTGCGGCCATGGGGCGCGGCGGGCCCAAGTCGCTCACGCGGGCGGCCGCCAACGCGGAGCTTGTGGCCCACTTTGCCGCCGTGCTGACAGACTGGTGTGATGTGCTGGAAAAGGCGCTGGATGAGGGGCAGGGCGCGGCGGCGGGCAAGGAGGCGGAGGACGCGGGTGAGTCGCCGCCCCAGCTGCGCCGCACGTCGTGCCGCCGGCTGTGCTGCCGATTCAATGACTGCTGCTGGGACTGCTGCTGCTGCTGCTGCCGCTGCTACTGCTGCTGCTGCTATGTTGCTGGCAAATTGTGCAGTGCGGGATGTGCCTGCCGGGGACAGGGAGAAGGGTCCTCCGGCCCCCTGATCACCCTTGCTGGCACATTCTGCAACGTGCCCCCGTGCGGGCTGCTCACCACTGGCCTGCGCCATGATCCACGCCGCCGCACCCGCAGGCCCCGAGCTGAAGCTGGAGCACTGGCGGGCGCGCATGACGCGCCTCAGCGGCGCCGCCGAGCAGCTGGCCGACGCGGAGCACCGCTGCGTGGCGGCGGTGTGCGTGGCGGCGGCGGCGCCGGCGTGCGGGCGGTGGCGCGCGCTGGAGCTGCGGCTGGCCGACGCGGCGGCAGAGGCGAGGGAGACGGTCAAGTACCTGACCACACTGGAGGGCAGCCTGGAGTGCATCTACACAAGTGCGGCGCGGCGCCGGGCGGGGCGGGGCTGCGCGGGGGCCGGGCGGCGCAGGGCCAGGGGCGCCACGCTTTGCCACGCTGCTTCTGTGCACCGACGCCGTTGCTGGTGTTTGCTGTGGCATCAACACCGCGCGCGCGGGGGCGCGCGCGCGCACACACACACACACACACACGCGCGCGCCTGCCGACCTGCCTGCTGACCTGCCTGCAGAGGAGCCCTCCCAGATCGCCGCCTGCCTGCCCCTCATCGCCAACAACCTGCGCATGGTGCACTCCATCTCCCGCCACTACGCCCACCCCGCCACCCTGGCAGCCTTCATGCGCAAGGTGCTGGGGCTGGTGCTGGTGGCTGGGGCTGGGGCTGGGGCCGGGGCCGAGGCTGGGGCTGGTGACTCTTGAGGAGACCTGCCAGGGTGGAGTGAGAGGAGGGGCAGGCAGGCGGCACGAATGATGCCAGTCCGCTTGTGTTGACTTCATCTTTGAACACACCAAAAATGCAACATCCCGTTCTGCCCCGGTGCAGATCGCCAACCAGCTGATCAAGCGCTCGCGGCAGCACCTGCTGGCCCCCGGCAAGCTGTGGGAGCAGCCCAAGCCCGCGCTGATCGCCGCCCTGGGCGACGCCGCCGCCCTGCACGCCGCCTTTTTGCATCACGCGGGCGGCCTGCTGGGCGGCGGCGGCGGTACCGGCGGCACAGCCGGCGGCGCAGCCGGTAGCACAGCGGCAGACCACGCCTTTGCCAAGTACGCCCAGTTTGGGCGGCGCTGCGGCAAGCTGGCCGACATGTTTGGCACGGTGCACGCGTTCAGCCAGCTGGCGGGGCACACCCACATTGAGGGCATCGCAGCCGTGCTGGCCAAGTTTGGAGAGGTGGGGTGGCCTGGTGGGGTACACGTCTGTGTGGGCCTGTGTATGGGCGGCTTCTGTTGTGTGTGAGCAGGTGCCATGGTGGGGCGTGGCCGCCGAGGTGGCCAAGCGTGGGGAGGGGTGGTGGTGTGCAGGTATGAGGCTGCTGCCATGCGCGGCCTGGGCCTGCCATCCGCACCCCTACGCCACCTCCGTCCTACCTCCTACCTCTCCGTCCCCCCTTGCCTTCTCGCTTTCCTCCCTTTCTCCCTTCTACCTTTCCTGGCCTCCAGGTGGCGCCGCCCATCAGGCGCCGCCCCTACGACCCTGCCGGCCTCACACCTCCGCTCTTCTTCCCTCCCTCCCTTCCTTCCTTCCTTCCCACCATGCTTTAGGTGGTGGACGACATCAAGCGTCGCCCCTACGACCTCCTGGATGCGAGCCGCACCCAGTTTGACCGCGACCTGCTCGAATTCGGCGTGCAGATCAACGACCTGGAGGCGGCCCTGCAGGTGTGGAGTGGGGTGTGGTGTTGGTGTGCGTGTGTGGTGGTGGGGTGTGGCTTCGTGACCGCCGGAAACAAAGCAGACGGATAGGAGGCGGGGTGAGCGGGAGGTGCAATGCGAAGCTGGCAGCAGGCAAGGGGTCTCAACCAGGCAGGGTCTCAACCACCCACCCACACCCACACCCATACCCACCAGGCACCCATACACGCCTGCCCTCCCCCCACCCCCGCGCAGGACGTCATCAACGCCTCCTTTGCCCGCGCCGCCTCCACCGAGCACTCCCTGCTGCTGCTGCGCCAGTTTGAGAGCCTGCTGCAGCGAGACTCGTTCCGAGCCGACCTGGACGCCAAGTGAGGCCACGGCTGCGGGCTGGCATCTGTGCTGCGCTGAGCTGGCGGGCGCTGAGCTGGCAGCGCCGACCTGCCGCCGCATGCGTGCCGTGTTGTGTCAGTTTTGGTTATCCTGGAAGCGTTGGAGGCAGGCAGCTGGTGGTCGCAGCGTGCCTCCTCGCCTCCTCGCGCTGAGCCCTGCTGCTGCGTGGTAATATGTGGTACCATATGGTACTGCCACCTGCAGGTACGCGCTGGCCTTCCAGGGCTACGCCGCCGACCTGGAGGCGGTACAGGCGCTGTACGAGAAGCAGAAGGCGGCGCCGCCGCGGCCCCGCAACGCGCCACCCGTCGCCGGATGCATCATGTGGTCCCGCCACCTTCTCCACCGAGTGGAGGCGCCCATGCGCCGCTTCCAGGTGGCTTCCGCCGCCGCCGCCCGGTGGTGGTGCAGCTGGGCGGGTTGCACGGTGCCGGTGTGGTGTGCCGGTGGGCTGGCTGTCGGCAGCGGGGGGGTGGCCAGCGGGGGGTGGCGGCAGCCGATACGCCAGGGACTGTCCCACTGGGGAACGGGACTGCACCCTGGAGGGCCAGCCAACTCCAGAGGCGTCTTTTGCCTCCTGCCGACTGCTTTCTTCCCTGCTGCCGCGCGTCCAGGCCTGCGAGGGCCTGATGGCTGCGCGGGAGAGCAAGCGCGTCATCCGCACCTACAACCGCCTGTGCCAGGTGGGCCCCGCCGGCGGCACCTGCCCTGGGGCGCTGCGCTGCGCTCTGGCTGCGCTGCGTGCCAGGCTGGCGGGCCGCCAGTTGCCTCCCGAGGTGCTGTGCCGGCACAGCTGGCTCGCTGTGCACGCCGGGGCGCAGGACGACGCTGGCGGCAGGCCCAGACCAGCCTTACCCTGCGCCCGCTCCCTTTTCTTTATTTCTTCCCACCACCACATTTCCTCCTCCCGCGACCACCACAGGCCCTCCTCGAGTTTGAGGCGCTGTGGCACCAGGCCTGGCTGCGCAGCGTGGACGGCGCCAAGACGCAGCTGCAGGCCACACTGCTGACGGAGCACCCAGACAGCGGTGGGCCGCCAGGGGGTGCTGCGGCTGTTTGTTGTGTCGTTGTTTGTCGTGGCGGCGCGCCTGGAGGCCAGCTGCGGGTCCGCCGGCGGCGGCGGCGGCGGCGGCCGCCCCGCCAGCACGGCGCCCACGCTGCTTACCCCCAAGCCACACCCACACACGCGCTGCTCGCCGGCCTCCCCAGCACTCGGCCATCACACCAGCACCCCACCACCACCACCACTACCACCTTACCCACTGCATCTCTGCCCTCCCACCCCTGCCCCCGCCCTGCTGTTGCCCGGAGGCGCCCTGCTGGTCAACCTGGACCGAGGCGTGCTGCAGCTGCTGCGGGAGGCACGCTACATGCGGCGCCTGGGGCTGCCCGTCCCCGAGTCCGCGCAGGCGGTGCTGCTGCAGGCGCGCCCCGCTGCCTGCGGCCGCCCGCCTCCCCCTGCCTCCATCTCCCTCCTGCTCTGCCGCTGTGTTCTTTCCTCTGCCTCCTGGTGCTCTGGTAAAGCTAGTTGATGATTTGTTGTGCCCATGTTGCCCGCTCCTCTCATCGATCCTTTCTTTCTTTACTTTCTTTCCACCTGCAGGAGGAGAAGTTCACGCTCTACTTCAACCAGCTCACCCACGCGCTCAAGGTGTGGCGGCCTTTTGGGCTGGCCGGGTGTCTTGACTGGCATCGGACGCTACCGGCCAGCTGCTGCCACCAGCCGCCGACTCCCCAGTGGCTGCTGCCGAGACCAGAGTGGCCAGCAGCCAGTCGCTTGGTGCCAGTACCGCCGCCGCCACCTGTCGCCGCCGCTGCCGCCGTGGTGCAGGAGCTTGCGCGGGTGACAGGCAGCCTGCAGCCGCGGGAGCAGCTGGTACCGCTGCTGCAGCCCCACCTGGACGACCTGCATGAGAAGATGCTGGTGGGTGGGCAGCCTGTGCCGGGCGCGGCAGCCACGCCTGCGCTGCGCCTGCATGCCGGGCGGCATCCGTTTAGGCGACGCTGGCAGCTTGTAGTGCGGCGTGAACTTTGTGGGACGGGCTTTGCCCTGCCCCGCGCTGCCACCCGGATCACATGTGTGTGTGTGCGCGCGTGCGCACGCGCGCGGCTGCGTGCCTGCCTGCCCGCATGCCGGCCGAGCTGGCTGTGTGGCGCTGCGTGCCCGCTCCCCTCCCCGCCCCCGCAGCCCGGCCTGCACGTCCTGACCTGGACCTCCATGAACATCGACGGCTACCTGCACCGCTTCCACCAGGTGCGCGCTGTGCTGTGCTGTGCTGTGCTGTGCTGTGCTGGGTGCATGCTGTGCTGTGCTGCGAGGTGGGTATGCTGGGGGTGTTGGCTCAGGGGCAGCAGGCCAATGCCGCTGCCGCCGCGCCGGACGCTGCGAGGTGGCGTGGCGCCCCGCGGGTCCTCATGCTGCGCACGCTACGCCCCGCCTGCCCGACCTGCAGTGCCTGGCCCGCGCCGAGGAGCTGGCCCGCAAAGTGGGCGACATCATGGTTAATCGCATACAGGTGATGCACAGGCGTGTTTGCGCGCGTGTGCCTGTGTGCCTGTGTGCCTGTGTGTGGTGTGTGTGTGTGGTGGGGGGGATGTGCCTGCTTGCATGCTTGCCCGCTCGCGTGCCTGTCTTGGTGCCTGCGTGTGTGCCAGCCTGGGTGCGCCTGGGTGTGTCTGATTGTCGACGCGCCTCGAGGCAGGCGGCACAGTTTCTCTAGGTGCCATCTCTGGTGCGAACCCCGTGCACGCCCCCCACCCACACGCGTGTGCACCTTGCAGGCCAACCTTGCGGCGGTGGCGGCGGCGCCCCTGCTGGACCTGCCCGCCGACCAGAGCTTCAGCTTTGAGGAGTTTGGAGAGCACCAGGTGGGGGCTGGGCTGTGCTGGGCTGTGCTGGGCTGGTCTTGGCTGGGCTGGGCTGGGCTGCGCTGGGCTGGGCTGTGCCGGGCTGGGCTGGGAGAGGTGGTGGCAGTTGCTGTGCCGCTGCGTGAGCCGCGGCTGGGGCAGGCGCCACAGCGCCAGGTGCACGCCACCTGCCCCTGCCCGTTTTGAGTCCTGTGCTTTCCTCCCTAGTTATTGATATGTGCCCTTGCTCTCTGCCACCTCACTCTCTCCTCATTCCTCCGTACCTGCTTGCCATCCTCCTGCTTAAGCTTGCCACCCTGATCCCACGCTCCCCCACCCTCCCACCCCGCCCTCCTGCAGGCCGCCTTTGTACGGCGGCAGGTGGAGGCGCTGGCGGTGCGCAGCGGCGAGGTGCAGCGGGGCTGCGAGGAGCTGCTGGACTTGGCTGCCGCCTGGCCGCGGGAGAACCCCGAGGTGCGGCTGGCGCCCGAGGCGTGTGCCCTGTTCCGAGACCACTGCACGCGCGGCATGTGCCAGGTGCGGCCGCCTTTTTTGGCTGCCAGCGAGCGGTGTTCTGCCGCCGGCAGCAGGTCACGCAGCGCTGCTGCTGCTGTCGGTGGGGAGCGGTGGGCCGGTGTCAGGGTTGCAGACTGTGCATCTGCACGGTGGCGTGCGACGCAGAACCTGGTAGTGGTACCGCAAGTGCCACTGACTGGTTTGCGGTATCTGCCGGTACCTGTCGGTACATGTGAGGCCGCAGGGAAGCACGGGGGCAATGCCGGGGATGCAGGCGCCGCGCCGCCTGCTGCTTGCCTGGATTGCGTGTTGCTGCAGTGGTCTTCAACGCTATAGGGGCTTTGGGGCTCTTTCAGCACAACGATCCTGCCCGCCTGCGCTGCCCCTCGCCCTTCGCCCTCCATACCGTGAGCTCCCCATCCCCCTCTGCCTCCCCCCGCCCCCCCCGCACCGCAGTCCCTGCTGTCCGCCATCCGCGCCAGCTTCTCCGTGCTCAAGCGGCGCCTGGCCTCCACCGCGGTGGGCGGCCCGCTGTTCCTGGAGCGCCCCATCTTCAGGGTGGAGCTGCAGCTGCAGGTACCGTCTGTGGTACTGCACCCCTCGCTGGAGCAGATCCAGGAGGCGATCAATGCGGCAGCCAAGCTGGTGAGCGCTGGGGGTGGAGAGAAGGCGCCAGTCGGCATGTCCTGTCCGCAAAGGGACACCAAATCAGACATGTGGAGGGCGGGCCTGCCGCGCAACGGGCCAGCTGGGATCAAGCTAGCTGCCCACGCCCAGCAGCCATCCCGCTGCTTGCGGTTATCATCCTGATCCCACCCTGCCACAGGTGCTGCAAGTGGCGCGCCAGCTGCGCATGTGGGGCTGCGACGACCCCGAGGCCAGCTACTTTGACCTGATCAGCAAGGACCCTGATATCGTGAAGGTGTGTGTGTGTGTGTGTGTGTGTGTGCTGTGTGTGTGTGTGTGGCGGTGGTGGTGATGTGGTTTTGGGTGTGTTGGGTGCAAGGTGTGGGATAGGGGGCCAGACGCTACTGTATATCTGGGGCGGCTGGCCTCGCCCGCCGCCTCCCTGCTCTATCCTTCGCCCCTGGCACGTCCTGACCCCTCATGCCCCACCCAACCACACCACTCACGCTGCCTTTCCCCGCCCTCAGGTTGTCCTGCTGCTGACGGGGAGCGTGGAGGGCATGAAGCAGCAGACAGTAGAACACTTGAGTGAGCAAGGCCCGCAGCTGGCCGGAGGGACGGCGCGGCGCCGCTCGCCGGGGCGCCGCTGCCGCTGCCTGCGCTGCCAGCACTCCGCCGCTGACCCGTGCCCAACCGCTCCTGCCGCCCCCACGCTCACTTGGCACACCCCCTTCTCTGCTTTCCCCTGCTTTCCTCTCGCTCCTGCCCGTCTTCCCCGCAGAGACGTTTTCCCAGTTTGAGTTCCTTTGGAAGACCGACCTTCAGGCAAGAGGGGTGGGGGGCGCGGCAGGGACCTGCCAGTGTGTGTGTGCGTGGCGTGGTAGTGTGGAGTTTGTTTTAGGGGGATGGGCGGGTGGTGGGTGGGGTGGGGCAGGGTACGGCTCACTGTATTGTGCTCCACCGACTGGTCGAATGGCAAAGACGCACTCTCTGCCAGAGCAAGAGCCAAGGTGTGGCTGGCGAGCGACCCATGCTGCCCTTCGTTGCCCTGCAGGCCGAGTACGAGGCCTTCATGCGCACCTCCCCCTCCCTGGAGGAGTGCGAGGTCCAGCTGCGGCGCATCGTGGCGGTGGAGCAGGTGGGCTGGCTGGGTGCTTGGGGTGGCAGTGCAGGGGTTGGCGGTGCTGGCGGTGGTAGTGCAGGGGGGGGAGGGCCCGCCTCTGTCCCTCTGCCCCGCGTCGCACGTCCCTTTTGCAGGCGCGCACGTTGCACACACATGAAGCAAACAGCTCGCGAACCCCTACCCGCCTGACCGCCCGCCTGCCCCACCCCGCACCCGCCCGTCCCCGCCCCCACAGGAGATTGCGCTCATCCCTACCGTGCACACCCTGGGCGCCCTCTCCCTGGACAGCGCCCCGCTCAAGCACCAGCTGCGGGGGGAGGCGGCCGCCTGGAAGGCTCACTTTGCACGCACCATCCACCAGCGCGCGTCGCAGGACCTGCAGGCAAGTTTTCGTTGTGTTGCTTGCGTGTGTGTGCGGCGCCGTCGTGATGCTCCTCCTGCTGCTTTGCTTGTTTCGTGTGTGCCGTGTGCGGTGCCGGGCTGCTTCAAGCTGTTGTGTGCGCGTCCCTCCCATCCGTCTCTCATTCGATCTGTACCGCGTGGGAGCATGCCTCCCTGCCGTGCTCGGCAGCCGTCCCGCCTGCAAGGGCCCAGCCGGCGCCGCGCCGCGCTGGCTCAGCCTTTCTTTTCCTCCTTTCCACCCTGTGTGCAGGCCTACGACCAGCACCTGCGAGAGCTGACCGTGAAGCTGGGGCGAAGGGTGGAGGACCTGGAGGGTGGGTTGCGGCTGGGTGTAGGGCGCAGGCGGTGGCTGTGGGGCTGGTTGCTGGCCCGCCGCCGAGCGTGGACCTGGGCGCAGCAGCGGGCCTGGAGGACGGGCGTGGTGTGTGTGGGTTGCTGGGGTGTGCATGCTGCGGGGCAGGCCAGCTGGCGGCATCCAGCCGCTGCGCCCGGCTGCCGCCCGTGGGCCTACCAGGCTTCCTTGCCGCCTCTTCCACACGGCACACGCCCCACGCACCCACCCTGCCTACCCCACCTGCGACCCCGCCTGCCCGCCTCCCCTCCTCCCTCGCAGACGTGCGGGCGCTGGTGGGCGTGCTGCGGGAGGTGCGCGAGTACGAGGCCAGCCTGGAGGCGGTGGTGGCGCCCATAGAAGACATGTACGCCCTGCTGCTCAGGTGAGACGAGCCCCGCTGCTGGTGCTGCTGCTACTCTTGCTCCTGCTGCTGGTCCTGCTGCTGCTGTTGCTGCTGCTGCTGCTGCTGCTGCTGCTGCTGCTGGTCCCTGCTGCGGCTCCCGCTGCCCCCGACACCCCTGCCCGGCCTGTCCTTGTTGTACCGCTCTGCCGTACCGCCTGCTTGAACCGCCGCATCCCCGCAGGTACGAGGTGCGGGTGCCCAAGGAGGAGGCGGACCTGGTGGGCGACCTGCGCTACTGCTGGCGCAAGCTGCGAAAGCAGGCGGGGGAGGTGGCGGAGAGCCTGGCCATGCTACAGGTGGGCTGCTGTGTGCAGGCGCTGGGCGGCTGCGTGGCGGCGGTGGCGGCAGCGGTGGAGCCGTTTCTGTGGGAGACCCTGTGGGGGGAGCCTGTGGGGGGAGCCTGGCGGATGAAATCTCGATCTCGCGCCGCGCCCTGCTGCTGCTGCTGCTGCTGCTGCCTGTGCTGACCCCTGGCGCTGCCCACCCCAGCTGCCCACCCGCCTACCCCTCCCGCCCCGAACCCCCACTGCCCCTCTCCCTCTCCCTCTCCCTCACCCCCCCACCCCACCCCCCACCCCACCCCACCCCGCCCGCCGCGTTCCCCGGCCCGCAGGTGGGCTTCAAGCGCACGCTGCTGCAGGACGTGCGCGCCTT